AGAGCCAGTGGCTTCTTACATTTGTTTCGACTGCCAAAATCGTCGTCATGTCAGCGTTTAAAGCAGACAGGTCTTCCAAATACACTCAAATGGTGCAATACCGTCTAAAAATTGCCAAGCACAAGAAAACGTCTTCCAGACTAAAATAAGTCAGTAATGACAAACACACGAAGCAAAACTTTGTTGAGTAATATAGTGATTAAATTTGAGTACTGTGCTGAGCTTTCCAGATATCTCTGGTGCCAGACAGTGTGGCTGGCATCCTAACAACCGCAGGTTTTGGACGTGATCTCTCTTGGAAAAGACTTCTGCTTTCCAGCTACCAACCGAGCCGATTCCTTTCCCAGCGCTCGCTCCTCGTGCGGCGGGGACTGCTCCGTCCCCGCCACGGTCCCGTGCGTCTATGCTAACACCTCCCAATCATACAAACATGTTACTTAGCTATATAACAACATGTGTTTGCAAGAGACTTAGAAAGGGCAGTTGTATCTTTCAAAGCACAGCCTTCACAGTTCACTACGAGATGGGTGCCCGAGTTATCAAGGAAAAGAGCAGTACCTCAGACATGGCAAAAAGGAGCTTCCAGTTCCTCTAAGGGGAAGCACAGGGAAATCTGGCAGGTTTGGGGGATACTTTTATTGTCATTTGGCTACCAAAACTCACAAAGACAACCTTCCAAGAGTCATGAAACAGAGCTCTCCTCTCTCACCTTTTTTGGTTTGTTTCCTTATAGTCTAAATTAAAATGACCCAGAAGTTCCAGCAGGAAATAACTCAAACAGCCTTTACCGAAGGCGAGTAATAATTGAACAGAACTTGAACTCCCCGAGTTTCTGCCAAAACGCCTGGAAGTTTGTATTACAGAACACTCTGAACCGCAGCAAGTGCTTTCAAAAACACTTAGACTTACGTACAAAAGAGATCTTTGCTCCTAAAAAAAGGAAAGAGAAACACAGTTCAGCAAAATCTCTCTTTCAGTCCAGGCATTTGCTGCGCGTAGGGATCCTGAGAAGCCCTGGAAAGATCATACGCATCCCAACACAGAGAAAAATCACTGCGTGACTCTTCAAAAGGATACAGTCTGCCTTTTTCTTGAGAGCAACCAATGCTCATGAACAGGACAGAAGTTATTGAGAGACGAAAGAACCGTATTTGATAAGGATTCAAATACTCAGTATGTGCCATTACCTAGGCAATGGCAGAGGAATGAATGGTAATCTAAAAAAGGCACCGTATTAATAGAAGTTGTTAGAGAAATGCTATGTTATTGAAGAACAGAATGCAGAAAATGAAATGAATTATTTAGGTAAATGAACAGTTACTAAAAGAAATATTTCAGCAATTTTATTTTTAGGCAACAGCATTGCTTCTTGTCCAAAGCGAAGACCATTACTTGGTACAAATGAGACTGAACCAACATCCCAGAACGCGCTCTGCAACCCTGAAATCCAGAGTCTGAATTCGGTAATTTCCTGTGCGTGTGTGCGTATACATTCATACAAAACCCAGTTACACCACAGTACAGGGTGCAGAGAGTTCCGTTCACTTACACAAGTTATACAGACGGAATCTGGACTAAAAACTGTTGACCTGTATCTTACAGGTCCATTAATAGAAGCCTTCTTCATTAAAGATCAAACCATTTATTATAAAGCCAAACAGAATCTGCGCAAGTCTCTCACGTGACACCATTTTAGGAAGAACATAGCAGAAATCCTGTTGAGCTACCACACAGAAAAATTCAGCAACTTCAAATGAGTTCTGCTGTGAGATTCAGGATATGCAAGGATTTGAGTTAGTGCAAAAGCTATTACCATGGTTAAACAAAAACAGTCTATCATCTACTGTAGCAGTTGTCCTATTTGATGCTATACTGTGTACGTACAAATTACGCAAAAGGCACATATATGCTTGGAAAAATGCACAAATTAGCTAGACCAAATGTTCTGCCTGTGTAAATTTGTGTAACTTCACAAATCTCTGTTTGAAGATATCGATACAATCCATTTTTGTTTCCTTTGTATATTAGCCCAAGACGTACAGGCTTCAAAGGATACAGATGACTTGTATGCTTCTTAGTGAGAGTGAACAATACGCAGCCCCTTGGCTGCAAAAATGAATGATACAGCATCTGTGCACGCGAAACGGTGCTCCACGAAAGGAGCTCTTGCTTTTGCGATGAATACACAATTAACAGTCACAGAACTGTGATGCAGATCACAAACAGTGATTCAGGATATGTTTTAAACCAGTGAGAAAGTTGTTCACACTTTTATCACCATAGTGTAAATCAGGGTTTTTTGTTTTGTTTTCTTTTTTTAAAAAAGCTCTTTTCTCAGCCAGTGTGTATCAGAACCTCTGCAGACTGGCTGGGTCCTTATGCTCTAAGAGCAGCACATACCATTTAACCTAATAAAAACCAGAGTTACAAACTATTGCAGATTCGCATGCTATAAAGTAACAGAAATAA